AAAATATTAATGAACATGGTGAACAACAATGAACAAATGGTCCATTATCAGCAGTTCGATGTAGTTTTGTCATGAAGTTGGAACAGAAGCATTGTATAGCATTTATATCAATTTGACAAATGCATCTTTTGATTCAGGTAATCAATTGTTTGCAATTCTTAGCTCTCCAGTTGTTTTTGTATACTAACAAACTCAAATATCTAAAGAAATCTTCGATTGGATGACACTGAAGCAAGTTTGTCGGATTGCATTTTTTTGGTAAATATGGGATGTTTTGGTTTTCCAATAAGATTTGTGTTTTTTTGGCATAATGCGATAATGCTTTATCCGGCCAAATCAAGTAATTGCCATCTGAATGATATTTTTGAAGAAATGGAATCAATATTTTCTTCAAACATTGGTTTTGGTATACTTCTTGATTAATAGCCAAACCACTTGGCTTAAACAATGGCTTGGAAATTCCCCTCTCAGATATGTAATGTACAGCATCACTTTCTGCTCAAAGTTGTGTTTGTATTTGTATTTTACTTTTGTAGATGTTGTAAAACTTTTATCTGCATAGTAACGATCATTTCCTGGAACTTGTATTTTTAAGAGGGGGAAGTAACTTTTGTCATCCAAAACAAAATATTTTCCTGAGTAATTTCGGGTCATCCAGCAGCATTGAGATTTCGTGGTTGATAATTGTTGCTCAGTGTATTCCGGTGCTCTTGTTTTTTTTGGTAGACTACTCCTTGTTTATTCAACGATTTGCAGATATAAGGTTGTGTACACTTGAACTTTTCTGGTTGACTTTTTGAATCATTATTGTTGAAAGCACCTTGAAGCAAACAAAGTCCCTTATTGTTCATTATTTTAGCTGGTCTTCCACTAGCACTTTTACGATTGGTTGTTAAGGATGCCATAATACAGTAAATAGTTGAAGCTGGAACATTTTCGTTTTTAAAATGATTCACAGTAAACTTTTTTCCAAGATTTTTGTGCATTTGATAGAACTGTACAATGCGCTCGCGTAGTACATCTTGTTTTGACGGCATTTTAAACACAACTAAATTAGCTGTTGCAAAGCAAAAAAGTTTGTAAACAGAGAGAGTATAGTTTCACATATGAGTACTTTTCTTTTTTCGACTTTTGCAGTTTAATTTCAGAGGGTTAGAATTATTCTCATTTTTTTGTTATCACCCATTATATAGCCTACATACATGTATAGCTAAAAGGTTTTTTTTAACCAATTAGTTTACTAATTTTTAGAAACGCATTCGAAAAGCTTAAAAACTACTTAAAAATGACATTTAACGTTAAACATTAAAATGTATGTTTAAGCAAAGCATAAAACCGTAATTATTAACTAGTATGTGTTTATATTAAAATTTGCTATTTTTAAATTTGTAAAAAAATGCACAATAATTTAAATTAAATGTGCGTATTTATTAAAGGAACCCCCAAATGCAGAGACAAGTTGTGTTCATAATTAAGAAAATGTTTAAAAAAAACGTTTGGGCTAAATTTTTTTGCTTAAAACTAAATAATAAATGCAAATTAATAAAACTAAAGGTGTTGTTTTAGTCAAAGGTTATTTGTTGATTGTAGAAAATATGATTAAATACATTAATTTTTCTTATTAGACGTGATATTAGTTTAGTGCAGTATATATTGCTCTAATAATGAGGCGTGGCTTATCTTAAATATCATTTGCATAAATATGATTATATAATATTGATATTATAAATATGATTATATAATATTGATATTATAAATATGAGTATATAATATTGATATTATAAATATGATTATATAATATTGATATTATAAATATAATTATATAATATTGATATTATAAATATGATTATATAATATTGATGTTATAAATATGATTATATAATATTGATATTATAAATATGATTATATAATATTGATATTATAAATATGATTATATAATATTGATATTATAAATATGATTATATAATATTGATATTATAAATATGATTATATAATATTGATATTATAAATATGATTATATAATATTGATATTATAAATATGATTATATAATATTGATGTTATAAATATGATTATATAATATTGATATTATAAATATGATTATATAATATTGATATTATAAATATGAATATTTAATAAATCATAAATATCATTTGCTTATTGTGGCAAAAAAAAAAACATTAAAAAAAAAACTATACAATGATGTCATATACTGAAACTGTTATGAATTCAACAGGCATGAAATAAATTATGCAGTCTGCTGGTTGCAACGTATATTATAAAGACTTTAAAAACCATGAAAAAATGGAAAAGGCAACCTTGGGCTAAAGCAACATTTTTGTTTTATTGATATGCATTTATTGTTTAGTTTTAATCAAAAAAATTTAGCCTTAATGTTTTTTTTAAAACATTTTCTTTAATATGAACACAACTTGTCTTGACACTTGGGGATCTCTTTAAACAGTTATTAAAAGTAAATTGTTACTTGATTTAAATTGGTTTTCCATAAAATTATAAAAACATGGGTAAAGATAAAAGATTTAAAGTTTATTATTTCTAACATAATTAACATAATTAAAAACTTAGTTTAAATAATCTTAACATTTTGTTTTTTTGTTTTATTTTATTTTAGTTATGATTTTATTTCTTATGTTTTAGTCAAGTTCTTTTGTCTCTTTTCTTAAGATTTCTAGTTTTTTAAAAGTTTTTTTTTTTTTTTTTTTAGTTAAGTCTAGATAAGTTTTTTTCATTTTTGAAATTTTTTTATTCTAAAAAATGTTAACTGTTGTGGTCAAATTGTCAAGGCAAAGTTAACATTTGTGTGGTCATATAATGGTGTGTAATCGCAAGCAAAAAAGTCAAAAAAAAAAATCACTTTTTGATTGCTTAGAACAGTCAGTCAATCTTAAATCTGATCTTTCTTCTGTAGCAGGGATTGCAGTCGTGAATTTTAACTCCAGCAAAACCCAATTATTTACTTCAAACAATTATTACAATACTCTTATATTTCTGTATTGATGAATGATGATGCTCTCTTTCAGTCCTCTGCTTTACATTTTCTTTAATTCTCTTTTTCTACAGACCTCATGGAAATCTTTTTTTTCCATCACAAAGTTAGCATCTACTAAAGTTGTCTCTCTTTTTTATGCTCACCATTTTGTTACTCCCAATTCTATTCTCTTCCTCTATCTCTTACTTGTCCCTATATGAAATACTGTTGTCATATTTGAGCTTGTTCTTCTAAAGATTCCTTTTCTCTTTTTGACAAAATCCAAAAACTTAGTGTAAATGTAGTTGGACCTGCTAAGTTTGAGCCACTATCCCATTATCACAGGTTGCATCTCTCTCTTTTCTACAAATACGTTGTTGCTGCTCAAAAGATTTATCATCTCTAACTCCATCTAGCAAAACTCATTCTTGTTTGACTTTTCATTCAGCAAAAATTATTTTACTATATCTGTATAATTTTTTTGCTTTTTTGTAATTTCTTGTAATTATTTTCTTTCAAAACAATATTTCGGAACACTCTCCCATTTTCATGTTTTCCCAGCTCATAGAGTATACAGTTTTTTAAGTTTTCTATCAACTGTTTTCTTTCTCTTTGACAATATTTTTTATCTCTTGTAACTCCCATTTTAAATAATGGTTGCTTGCAGCCTTTTGGGAGTAAATTAGTTTAAATAAAAAAAAAATTCCTGTTAAATTAGGGTCATAAGCAAAGTGAAAAAATATCTTAACTTTTACGCACCACTTGTTTTAGCAAACCTATCATACTTGATACACTGCTTTACACACCGCTGGTGTAGTATAATCATATAAACGTTCAGATTCAATCCAGTATATATTCTAAAAAACAATAAACAATCCAATATATATTCTACTTTATGTCTTTTTACTCGAGTCCATGTTTTAAATCAAGACTTTGACTTCAACTGATTTTCTTTTAGAGTTAACAAAACATGTTTGTTTAACTGTGTAATTACAAATTTTATTGGTTAAAAAATCAGTTAATCATAAAATCAGCTTAACTTATAACGATCTTAGCACCCTAAAGTTTCATCATCAATCCTCGAATAGCTTATATTTTCAATCTTTTTTTCGATTAATTTGTTTAAATTATATATATTTCAACATTAAAAAGCAACTGGATTTCATGAGCTTCCATATCTAAATCACTATCTGGTTTGGTGTGTTCTGATTTACTTGAATAAGAAAACTCTTTTACGGACTCAAACAAACCATCATTGTCACTTTCATCTTTGTTCTTACTTTCATCTTCATTGTCACTTTCATCTTTGTTGCTACTTTTCATCCTAAGAAGATGTTCACTGCTTCTTCAGCAGTGAACATCTTCTTTGGATGCATAAAATGGCAGTTTGCTTAATATATTCCTTGGGTAAAATTTTAGTTGAATTTTTACTTTATACAAGAAATAAATAGATTGTAAGAGAAAAAATAAGTTCACAAAAAATATAGACTATGCTGTTCACATATATGTAACACTTTACCTTCAACGGATATAACTAACCATCTCTGTTAAGGGGTTAATTCCTTCACTGTTAAGGGCTAGGAGCATCATCCTTCTTGTTGAAGGGTTAGGAGAATTATCCTTCTCTTTTCAGAGGTTTTATGCATCATTCTTCTTTGTTAAAGGGTTAAGAGCTTATCTTTCTCTGTTAAGGGGTTAGTTCCTTCACTGTTAAGGGCTAGGAGCATCATCCTTCTTGTTGAAGGATTAGGAGAATTGTCCTTCTCTTTCCAGGGGTTGTATGCATCATTCTTTTTTGTTAAAGGGTTAAGAGCTTATTCTTCTCTGTTTAGGGGTTAAGAGCATCATCCTTCACTGTTTATGGGTTAAGAGCATTGTCCTTCTCTGTTAAGGGGTTAGGAACAATGCCTTTTATTATATTTATGTTATTTTATTCAGATATGAATTGAAACTGTATTAATTGTATTGTTTAAGTTTTTAATCACTTTAACTCAACAAAATATGTTTTTATAGATGGATTCTACTGAATTTGTAAAAAAACTGTGTCCTTGGGTTTCAGAAAAAATTGTTGAAGAATACAAGATTGCTTCTTCGACACCTGTACAGTCTTATTTTAAGGATTTTTATGACAATCATTCTTGTAATATTTGTGGTAGTAGTGCTGATTGTGGATGCAGCGTTCAAAGAAGTTTTTCAATATCACAAAAATCATGTATAAATCAAAGCATGTTATTAAAAAGTGCGCTGCTGGCAGCATCAGATCAAGAAAATGTTGATCATTGGTATTGTGATATTAATGAAAAAGCAAGAGAAACAAAAGAAAGACTTTTATCAATGCAAGAGTTATGCAATAGTGAAACTTTGTCTTTTAATAACCCTGAGGTGAATGCTACCGAACAGAATTCTGAACAATTTCAAACTGATGTATCACAGCTTTACAAAATTACTGAGGAAGATCCATATAATGAATTATTTTCTCTTCCACGGTCTTCAATGGTTATGAAAGGTCATCATCGATCAAAATCAGATCAAGATGGAAGTGCTAGTTTTGTTGATAAGATTGATTCAGGAATAGCTTCTTCTTTGCCAAAGGAATTTTTGGAGCAGCATGAATTGATTAATGGTAAATCTTTGTTTTCTATTTGTCCTTTGTTTCTTCTAAACTTTTTGCAATAACAAAAAAAAAAAAAACAACAAATTTTTTTTAGGTACTGAAAGTTGTTATTATCGTGATGAAGATGGAAAGATATTTCCTAAACCTTACAAAGGTCAATCTTTGATTAGTTACCTTGAATCAAGAAGCTACAATACTGGAGCTCAGCTAGATAAAGTAAATTTGGGTGAAACAATTGAATTTCATATTTAATGAAATATATTAATCTTAAATGTTAATAATAATTTTTTGTTTAGGAAAATGCTCACTTTAGTATTTGTGAAGCGTTAATTACAGCAATTGAACAAGTAAGTTCTTTAATCAAAACATTTTTTGATCACTAAAAAGTTTTTATGCAAAAAATTTCTGCTCAGTAATCCAATAAAATAAAAATTATATCTAATTAAAAAATATAAATACATAAATCCAGAACTCTATAGAACTTATTAAAATACATAAATCCAGAACTCTTCAGAACTTATTAAAATACATAAATCCAGAAATCTTCAGAACTTATTAAAATACATAAATTCAGAACTCTTCAGAACTTATTAAAATACTGTATTTTAATAAGTTCTGAAGAGTTCTGGATTTATGTATTTTAATAAGTTCTGAAGAGTTCTGGATTTATGTATAATACATAAATCCAGAAATCTTCAGAACTTATTAAAATACATAAATCCAGAACTCTTCAGAATTTATTAAAATACATAAATCCAGAACTCTTCAGAATTTATTAAATTTATTTTTTCAATATCCAAATAAAAACACAAAATTGATTTCAGTTTTTAACTTTAAATTTTTAACAAAAATTCACTAATACTTAAAGCAGAACAGAAATTTACTAATGCTCAAAGTTGAACAATAAGTTGCTTGATCAAAAAAATAATGAAATTTTATTTTAATTTGAGGTCTTAAAGTTTTTTTTTAACTTTTTCATATTAAAAAAAAAAAAAAAAACTAAACTACTATAAATACTACTTGGCAACCAAAATAATCAATCAACTTAAAGTTATGCATAACTAAATCAAGAGATATTATTCAAAATTATCATAAACCAATAAAAATTTAGTAATCGAAAAGAACATTTAATCAGTGTTTTATCAATCAAAAAATTTTGTGCAAAAAGTGAATTGATATAAAAATGACAGAAAGTGGTATTGTATTGAATTGTATTGAAAGTTCTATTGTTTTGAATTGTATTCTTATTGTATTGAAAAATCAATATGTTATGCAATTTAAATATGTAATTTAATCAATAAGTTATGCCATTAACATTACAGTTCCTAATTCAACTACAGACAAAATACTTGACTAAGTACAATGTTATATTCTAGATAATAACACCAAATAAAAATTGAATAAATGAACTAGAGAAAATCATTTGCATTATTTTGGAGAAAACTTTAACCACTAAACAATTAACACAAAGAATCAAAAGAAGTTTGCACCGAATGAATGAAACTCATTTCATCCTTTAAAAAAAACATTAAAGCATAAAGTTTTATTCATCTAGTTTTTTTACTCAAATAACCTTTTCAAGTCTACTGTCATTTCCATTGCTCTTTAAAAATATTCTTTGTTTTCAAGTCTACTGTTGTTTCCATGGTCTTTAAGAATATTCTTTGTTTTCAAGTCTACTGTCATTTCCATGCTTTTTAAGAATATTCTTTGTTTTCAAGTCTACTGTTGTTTCCTTGTTCTTTAACAATTTTCTTTATTTTTTTTTTGTAACTCCCAACTTAATAGTAGTTGTTTAGAATTATTAGCATAGTTTATATTTATTAATTTATATATGTTTATATATATTTATATATATTTATATTTTTATTATCAATATTAACTTTCTTTTGACTGAACAAAATTTCAGTTTGGCTAGGTAGAACTATTAAGTTTACTTGATTGCAAATAAATATTTCTTTTATTTGTAAATGTAAATATTAAGTTTACAAGATATATACAGATTGCAGTTAATAATTTTTCTTATTTGTAAATGTAAATATTTTTGAAAACTTATTATAAAAATATTTTTTTAGTTCATTTTTAAAACAATTTAATACTCTTAAAACATTTAAAAATATATTTTTTTTAAGTAAAATTATATTTTCTGTAAATTAAACAACAAGAACGAGTTTTATATTTTTTTATTATTCAGTCAACAAATTTTTTTTATTTTAACAAAAGTAAACATTACCCGGAGAACATTACCCGGAGAAACTAAACAAAAAGTAAATTAAAACAAAAGTAAACATTACCCGGAGAATGTTCTAAATAATAAATCCGGCACATATGCTTCAAAAAAAAATTAAGTTAATTTTAACAACTTCAACAAAAAAGATGTCAAACAAAACTTTAAAAAATTTTAATGTGCACAAAAGATTTTACAAACTTTAAAATTCAAAAAAAAGTTGGAATTGAGGACAAAAAGATGTTTTCATCTTCATTACTATTCTAGTACTCTTGTAGTTGCTTCTTGTTGTGCTTCTTTTTGTTGCTTAGTTACTACTCTTGTTATTGCTTAACTGCCATTAGATAGCAAACAAAAAAAAGAGATAAGGTACAACAGATTTTTTTTCTGTAGTTGAAATTTTTTAATTTAAAAGTGGTCTGGATAGACATATGACAATAACTGGCCTATAGTCCAGTTATTTTAAGTAATTACCTTAAAATAATTCTAAATAACATAAACCTTTTGACTGACCTTTGGAATATGAAATGCAGAAATGTGCTATTGGCACATCACATATTAAAGGTATTAGATTTATTAGATATTAATTAAAGATGAGACATTAAAAATTTGTTATTAGATATTATTTAAAGATAAGACTTTAACTTTTAGCAAGTTTAATAGTGAAATAAAATTAAAATTCACGAATTAACAATTAAAATCTGTAAGTAATATTTCTTTTAGATTTTTTTTGTTGTTGCTTTTTTGTTGTTACTTAACAGTGTTATTCTTTCTTAAAACAATGATTATAAAAAATTATTTTTTGCATCTCTTCTTTGATATATTTTTATCATTTTTTTTTGCATTATCTGGGTCAGCTGGAATTTCTAATATTGGTAATAATTGGCTTTTCTTTAACTGTCACTCCCAATCATCTAGCTTAAGTTGGACAGCAATTTAAAAGAACAATAGAATGGTGTAGAGATTAATGTTGAAAATTTTTTTCAAAACCACAATATTTATTCAATAATTTACAAATTCACAAAAGTATCATTAGCAAGCACAACAGTATTTTAGAATTTAAGAAAGCCTGAATAAATAGTTGAATCAGCTTTGCCTGGAGAATTGATTACAGTATTTCTATAATTTTTCAAATAGTGCAAAAGTAGTATAATAAACTGGCATTAGTTTGTTTTGTTTGCGGTAAACCTTTCTTAAAGAAACCTGAGTATTGTTTTTTTCCCCATATCAGATAAACTATGATCAGATAGTTAGTTATATCTTGCTTGTTTTTAATTGATTGAATTTTATGAAGGTTCCTCTATCATTTCTTTATGAAGGTTCTATCATTTCTTTAAACAATGACATTGGTTCTATTTTTAATTTTATATCTGAAATGATTCTTGCTTAAATGTATCTTTTATTGATTAAAAATTATTTTCCTCTCTGTCTCTTAGTAACTGCTGCTAGTCTAGCGAACAAAATTAGTGAATTACATAAGCTTTTTTTGATTTTGATTGTACTTTGATTTTTCTAAGAATACACAGCTGTTTCATTAAAAAAAAAAAAGCCATGATTTTGATGCCATGAAAGCAAAAATGTTATTATTTATTATACTGGTATTAAAAAAATGCCCATTCATCTGTTTATTTGTATCTATCAATTTATTTACCTATCCTATGGACTATTAATAAAAATATAATATTATTCAGAAAAATTTAATTAATTAATTAAAAACACCTGTTATTAACCTCAATTTGAATTATTATTATTTTTGGAGTTTCACTGTTGTTAAAATAATATATATTAACCTAAATATTAACAATTTTATTTTATTGTTTACTCTCTAAAGACGGAATCTTTAGAGAGTAAACAATAAAATACTCATAAACAGATTTAATAAACATTTTGAAATTCAGCTGTAAAATCATCTGGGAATATTTCATTTTCTTGAATAATCTCTACTATGTTTATATCTTCTTCTGATCATGTTGATGTGTTTGACTTATATTAACTAGCTTAGTGATATTTTTCTCACTTACATTTATGGTTATAGCATGCTTATCTGGAGATAAGAGTGAACTTAAAATATCATCTCATGAAATTAAAATCTTTTCAAGTTAGTCATTAAAACATTAATCATAATCACAGCAAAATTAATAACAAAGATTATTTATGTTAAAGATAAGACTGTTGATAAGATAAGACTGTTAGAATGATTACTTGACTAAATTGATTTTTAGTCAATTATTAGGAAATCCAGTTATAAATCCACTTTTGATTTTTTGACTAATTTTGAATTTCGACATGTCGACTTTTCTTAAATCTACTTTTGACTAGTTGACTTTTCATTAATCCACTTTTGATTTTTTGATTAATTTCCATTTTCAACAATTTTTATTTTTTGTCCTTTATCTTAAAATTTTTTTTATCTCTTTATTTTTTTAAGACAATTTGTTATTATTTGTAACTTTTTTGTGTGTGCTATTACATGTAGCTTCTTACATAGTTTTTTTACTTTAGATGAGATGCGAAAATGTTCATTCTGAGCATGAAAGTGACGGAGATGAAGAAATTAAAATTCTAAAGAAAAGAATTCATGCGCGAAAAAAAACTCTCAAAAAGCAGCGTGCCAGTTATATCAATTCACATAGTGATAGCAATAAATCATCTATTTTAAAAACATCTTCTACTGTCAGCTCTTCAGATTCTTTTGGAAGTACAGCAGTAGGTAAGTTAACTCTTGGTTACTGTTTTTAAGGTAAGTTAACTCTTGGTGACTGTTATTAATTGCTTAAAAGTTTACAGTAACATTAATGAAGCAACAAATTTTAGTGAATTGACCAATCACATTTTAGTTAAATACCCAATTACATAAGGTTTATAAATAACATTAAGAATAAATTTACATTATTTTGTTATTTTTTTAATTGTTTTTATTTCTATTTTATTTATTTTTTTATCATTAAAACTAAAAATTTGAATGGAACATTAAAATTTAATTATTTGAACCATTTTTTGACTTTTACCCAAATTTTTCTTAGGTGATACTTCAAGTTCACCTCCAGATAAGCAGGCTATAACCATAAGTGCTAGTTGGGAGAACATCACTCAGCTGGGTAACAAAAGTCGAACACATGAAAGTGAATCAAAAGAAGATATAGACAAAGTAGAGATTATTCAAGAAGATGAAATATTGCCAGATGATTTTACAGCTGAAACAGTTGCAAAATGTTTATTAAAGGTATTTAGTATCATAGAAGCTTTCCATGCTTCTTTTCTATATTACTGCAGTTTTTCATGATGATTTTCTATATTATTGATGTTTTCCATGCTGCTTTTCTATATTATTAATGTTTTCCATGCTGCTTTTCTATATTATTGAGACAATTAGTTATTTACTAAATATTAATAAAAAAGTTTTTTTAATAAATAAAATAAATTTTAGAAATTTCAAGGTCATATGATACCTGCTGCTTCAGAATTAAAATGGATGGTATCTGAGGAGAATGTTTCTCAGCAACTTTTACCTCTTCCAAATGCATTGCCTGTATCTCCTGACACATACTTACCACAAAATGAATGCAATTTGGAGTCAGCACTGCAAAAAGTTTCTTTACCAGTATATATTTTATTTTTTATATTGTGTATATATGTATGTATGTATATAATTTATTTTTCATACCATGTATGTATGTATGTATGTATGTATGTATGTATGTATGTATGTATGTATGTATGTATGTATGTATGTATGTATGTATGTATGTATGTATGTATGTATGTATGTATGTATGTATGTATGTATGGTTGTATGTATGGTTGTATGTATGGTTGTATGTATGTATGTATGTATGTAAAAATAGAATAAGGTACAAATTTATTTAATGTTTAATTTTTTTTTGTTTGTTTATCAAATAAGTAATGTTTGAAGCAAAAAGAAAAAATTATATCAGTTTAACAATATATATTTTTTTGATCTCACTTCTCCAAGGTGGAGAGGGCCACTGCAGTTAAGAAGGCTACTTTTTATGGACATGAACCTTTATGAAAAAGGCCACTATATAGAGAAACAAGTGAGTGCGGTACTACCAGTGACATAGTGGGGATGGAACTTGGAACTTCTTGTTTATGAGCCAAGTGCTCTACCACTACTACTGCATATTAATATTATTAATATTTATTAATATTAATACACAGTTAAATTAGTACTGACATTTATTTTTGATAAATTCGTTTTTTAACACTTTTGTTGAGTTTTTTAATAAATAATCAATTGTAAATTCTTCACATTTTTCTTGAAATACATTTTACAACTCATTCTTTTGACACTTCTCATTTATCTTTTGTCTATCCCAAATAAGTCTGATAGTATTTAAATCTAAGCTCTGAAAGATATTGTTTGAAACATAACTACTTTTTTAAAGTTTCCAAATAACTTTTCATAACTTTGCTAGTGTGTATTATAGTAAAATTTGTATCAGGTGCCATTTTCTTGTGTACTATATGTTTACATTTTTTTAAATAGTTTTAAATTAAAACTCAGAAAGCACAACTATGCAACACTTTTTGGATGCCTAATGCAGGATTCATCTGGGATGTCTAATGCAAAATTCATCTGGGATTGGAGCTGCATAAGTTTTGTACTTATTGACCATAGTTTTCTTTTGTATGTGGTTTAATTTTTTATTAAGTTTTTTTGTTCAATCAGTTAATTATAAAGATAAACTATTTGACACAAACAGTCAAATACATATATGTTAGTTTAACATATGTATAAATATTTTTGGTAATATTAGGTCATTTCTATGTCATTTTAAAAATAAAAGTAATGGAGAAAGTGGCGTTAATTAATCAAAAAATTTGCACTTTCCATAATAAGTTAATGTATTTCCTAAATAAGTATATTTCCTAAATAAGCATAATGATAGATTATGATAGATCAATAAAAAAAATGTTCTAGCTACCCTAATATACATATCATTTTTTTTAATTCTGTCCATATAGTTTTTATGTACATCCAGCATCCAAATTTCATGGGATTTCTGTTTGACATCTCAGACCAAATCTGTCTGGTTGACCAAATCTGTAAGGTTGTGCTTTCTGGGATTGGTGTTTTCTGTAAATGGCTTTTAGTTTTTTTAAAGTTTATAGTTTAAAATCTGACATCATATATAACAATATGATTTTAGAGTTTAATACGTGGAAATATGGATTGGGCTCCTCCACGTCCACAGATTGTGTTAATGCCACATGTCTTCGTAAAGTAAGCTTTTCTTTTTGCACTTAGGTTTTTAAAATATTTATTCAAATAACAAATAAAGAATTTAATATTAGAAAAAAAGTCATGCTTCAAAGACAACAATACAGATGTGCTGGTTGTGGGTTGAAAGTCTCTCCAAGTATTGTTTTTAGTCTCATTACTTGATTTAAAAAAAAAAAAGACATAAATTTTATTTTTTTAATTTTATATTATAATATGGTAATATTAAAAATGTATATTATAATTACACTTATATTGTTAATAAATATTATTTTTATAATTTACTTTAGTTTTTACATTTATGAATAGGTCTCTCAAGGTTATTCCGATTTTGTGAATATCTTGGTAAATACTTTTGCACCAGTTGCCATCAAAACAATACATCATTAATACCTGCTAAAATTCTTTCTAAATGGGACTTCAAGAAATATCCTGTATCTGACTTTGCCAAAGAGTACATCAAAGAAATATATACAAAGCCATTGTTTGATATTTCCGGCATTTCTCCCAGTCTTTATGACAATGTCCGTTTATTGGCTCTTACAAATGTATATTATTTATTTGAAATTATTTTGCAATCTTCATTTGAAGTATTCTTTAATTAACCTATTTTTTTTTTTTCAGAATTGGAGAATTCAGTTATATTATATTAAAAAATTTCTCTCTACTTGCAGAATGGCGAACAGGTATTTTTAATTAAGCTCTAATCAACTGAATTTTCGATGAAATAAGTTTAATTTTATCACCTATTTTAATATGTGTTTCAAATATTACTATTAATGCAAAATTGTTGTTTGTTTTAAATTTTTAAGTTTATTTTTCATTTTTTTATACTGTTGCGCTAAAAAAGCTTTAAATAATTTATATCAAATATTTTATATGAAAATGTAGTATTTAAAAACAGTATATCCTTGCTGCAAAACAAATCTTAAGTCCATTTTTGGCAAAATTGACTTTTTTGGTTTAAAATACTCCTTAGGTGCATTTAAGTCATCTTACAAAGTATGGAACCAAAAATGATTCAACTTTTGCAACTATGAGTAAAACTCAAATATCTTATTTCCTAAAAAAAATAATTAAGAGACATCGTTGCTGTGCAACAAAATTATCATTAGTCCATATTTTGGCAAGAAAAAAAACTTTTTTGGTTTAAAATACTTAACACATAAAATAAATAACTAAAAACAAGTAGATTTAAAAATAGTGGTATTTAAAAAAATCAGAAGCAGTGATTAAATTTAAAACTTTAAATGTCTTTTTCTCAGAACAGCAAAACGGACTTAAGATTGTCTTGTTTTGCAGCGGCAATTTTATCCATTTGCTTCTTGTTGCTTCTTATAAACTTAAAATTTTATTTTTTATTTGTTATATTATGAAAATTTACTTGTTGCTTCTTATAAACTTAAAATTTATTATGAAAATTTATTTAATATATTATGAAAATTTACTTGTTGCTTCTTATAAACTTAAAATTTTATTTTTTATTTGTTATATTATGAAAAATAATAACATATTCTATAAGTATTTTAAAAACAATTTAGTTTAATGGATAAGATCAAACGCAGTGATGAATTAAAAACTTTAAATGCGTTTTTCTCAGAACAGCCTTATTAAGACTTATGGACTTAAGTCTTGTTTTGTAGCAACGATATAAAATTATAACACATTGCAACACATTAAAACTTTTCGTTGTAAAAAAACATTGTATAAAGTATGTCTATTTGAGTGTAAAACATCTTAAATAATCTATAGTTCAATTATTAATATGTTGAGCATAAAGTGTTTTTGATAGTATTTTACAAACAATATAAAAGTTACTGAAGAAAATTTAGATGAATGGGTGTACAAGGAAAATTTAGATGAAAGGGTGTACAAGGAAAAACAAAAATTTGTTTGTAGACACTGAAAAACAGCGCAAACAAACGACAAGAACAAAACTAACCAACCTAAGAATAAAAGACATATTTATTTTTGTATTAGTGGTTTAAAGTTGATTTTATAAATGTATTAAGTATTATTAATTTGTATGTTAATTATTAATCATAAAAAATAGTGTTGAGTGCAAGGCGAGCATAATTGGTTTATGTAACCCTGTGGTACGTTTACAATTTACAAACAATAAGTTACAAGTTTACTAAACCAGCTCATATTTTTGAGGCTTGGATCACTAGATATAATTTTTTGATTTTAATCAAAGCAAAGAAACAGCTGCTCCCCAACGAATTCTAAAGTGAAGAACAATATATTTTTGAACATATTTTAGAATGTGAATGAAACAAAACCCATTCAAGACCTACAGCTAAATCATTTAAAGGGACCAAGGCAGAAGATTTTACCTAGTAGTTAAATAATTTTATTTGCATTGTTTTTTTGTTTTTTTTTATATTTCAGTTTATCTCCCCAAATCCATAAAGGCTACTACAGTCGAAGAGGCTACTTTAGTTGTGGTTAAAACCCTTTTTCAACTAGTAGGCCCTGTCCCTGTCCCCATTTCTGGCTAAAAATGAGACTTTTTTCAAACCCAGCCCCGGCTAAACTATAAGATTTAGCAGTGGTTGATAGCCAGGGCTAGAAAAAAATTTATAATACTTTGAATATTATAATTTTAAGCTTACATTTACTATTTATTAAATACTATATATTTTTAAACTCTAATTTACTTCCAACAAGATTGCAAACAACTACTATTAAGTTATGAGTTACTTTAAAATTGGAATAAGTAAAAATACTAGGAAATGATTAGCTGAAGACTTGAAAAGTTGTAGGTTGTATATAAAAGAAAAACATGAAAGTGGCTAAGAGTTATAAAGGTTTTTTTGATGTGCAAGGAAAAAAAACCAGATTAATAAAATTATAGCATGAAGAAACAAATACAGCAAAAGGATGCATCTTGTTAAATAAGAAACAAGCAAGAATGAGTTTTAGTTTATCGTAATAGAGATGATAGCTCGTTTGAGCATTGACCATGATGGTATTTGTAGAAAAAAGAAAGAAATGCAACCTTATAACAATCGAAGAGTGGCTCAAGTTTGGTAGATAAAGCAGATCTAATTACATTTACATTGTGCTTTTAGACTTTGTCTGCCAAAATTATTGCAATATTTTTTTGCAGTAAATGAGTTTTGTTGTCTAACAAAAATTGTGGATTTAAAACCCAGAATTTAAATCCATAAGCCACTGCAAGCCTTAGGCTATTACAGAAGAGAGATCAGATTAAAAATTGGCTGCTTGTTCTAAGCAATCAAAAAGTAAAGATTTTTTGTCAAGACAAGAGTATAAAGTTAAGTTGTCAGCAAATTGAGCCACTTTAGATGTAAAATTTTCATAAAGATTGATATTGTAGATAAGAAACAATAGAGGAGCAAAGATAGAACCTTGTTACTTGAAACAAAGAGTGTAATCAAGAATTATTTTAATACTGTAGTTATTTAATCAAGAATTACTTTAATACTGTAGTTAAAAAGAAATAGTTTAATAATCTAAAAACCTTTGTATAAAGAAACTAATAGCTAAAACTACTTGTAGTAACTTGTAACTACTTGTAGTTAGCTAAAAAATCTAAAAAACTACTTGTAGTAACTTGTAACTACTTGTAGTTAGCTAAAAAATCTAAAAAACTACTTGTAGTTAGCTAAAAAATCTAAAAAACTACTTGTAGTTAGCTAAAAAATCTAAAAAACTACTTGTAGTTAGCTAAAAAATCTAAAAAACTACTTGTAGTTAGCTTAGTTTCTAAACTAATTGTAGGATAGTTGGAGAGGTCAAAGTGTTTTCTAGAGTTTTGAAAAATTGGAACCTCTTATTAAGCACTTTTTAAAAATTCAGCAAAAATTAAAGAGAGTTCTGGAGAACACTTTTTTAAGATTATGATGGAAATCTTGTTTGAAGCACAAACTGTAGAAGTGTTTAATTGAGAATTAACTTTAGCATTGGAAGCCAGAGTGATTTGGATTTTAACAATGGGTTAATCTGTTTAACTGGCACAAAGAGTGTGCTTTGAAGATGATATTCATTATTTTGATGTGTCTCGCATGGATAGATGCCATTTCAGAAGAAGAAAAAGCTTCCTATTATCATATTATATCCAACATAAGTTTGCTTCATATATTTTTATTTCCAGTACCTTCGACACAAATACATCTGAATTTACAGATTTGGTTTCCCTTGGTTGACTATGTCATCCTGCTGAACATCTATTTCAGTATGTCAGACATGCTTATTTACTTTTTATTTTAATACCTAATGCAGAGTTGCTGTTTCAGTGTGTAAAGTATGTTTCGAAGCTTTTTTTGTATTTTTATACAACTACCTTTTGATTTATAAAAATTGTCTATTACCCAGTCTCCACTATCTATTACCCAGTCTCCACTATTTCAAATTGCTTCTTCAAGGATTTAACAAAATTGTATGGTTCAGACAAAGTTTTTAAAAATATTAATGACCACAAAATAAAAAATCTCTAGTAAAATAAAACAATGAAGTTGAAATGAAAACTTGTTTACAACACATTATTAGTATGTTTCAATACATTATTATAAAGAAGTTAAACTTTATTGTTTTTATATTAAAAATTAAAAATAATTTATACCAACTATATTGTATATACTTTTAGTTGTTGTTGAAATTATGTAATGTTAACATTAAAAAAAAAAAATTTAAAAAGAACTTTTAAATTTTTTTTTTTTAATGTTAACATTACATAATTTCAACAACAACTTTTTTTCACTGAGGTACATTGTACATAGATATTTAATCTTGTCAAAGTACATTAGATTCAAGAGTCAAGTTAGAGTAAGATTTTATTGCAAATAACTCTGCTTTATCCTGGGGAGAACTAAAAAGATCAGACCCATGAATTAGATATTAAATGTTAGACTTACTTTAGTTAATGACATTGTTGAAGACTAACCAAAAGTCTCTAGAACCTAACATCTGATATAAGACACAAGATTTAGTTAACTGAGAATAACAGAGCTTAACATCAGACAGGACCTTTTTACATTGACTTCTTGGAATAATAAAAAGACATTTGTTCCTAAGAGAGATGTTTTTGTAAACAAAATAAATGATTAATAAAGCAACTGCTCAAGATGGTGAAAAATGTAAAATAATAAAAGCTTCCAAACATTTAGTCCAAAGGAATGAAAGCTTCCAAGATGGCTTTATGCATACATATTATGGATTTAAATATATATGTTTGATCCCAGCTATATTTTATCAAACCCTGCCCCGGTCAAATATCAACCCTTGTCACTTACTACTCTCTAATTCTGAAACACGAACCTTGAAAAACAAGGTTAAGCGCCATGCTACCAGGGATGTAGTGGGAATGGAACTCAGAACTTCTTGCTTATGAGGCAAACACTCTACCACTACAATACTTTTGTATTGTGTTCCATAATCAATGAACAGGTATTATAAATAACATTTGCCTAGCTACAAGTTACTATTGTATCATACTTAACCATCTCCTCTCTTGAAGCCAAACTAGATACATTGTGAAAATCTGCTTGACCTCTAATTGTTGCTGTTACCCTCCTCAAGGTTCCTGTTACAACACAGTAAATCAAAGAGTTTCAGGATCAAAAAGAGTCTTTGAGGAGAAACAGCAATTGTCCCATTAAGAGCAAAAAAATCCTCCTAATTTGATTTACCCTATGGACTCATGACTGGCTATACTATAATTATACCCTATCTTCTCATCTGGAACAGAGTCAATACTATTATCCATTTAAGTTTGATCTGTAATAGGTGCATTAAGGTCAAAAAGACTCAGAGATTTTGTTTCAAGCTTCCCCACTCAACAGACTTAACTTTTTTTAACATCAACTCAAAACTATTGGAAATCTTACTATTAAAACTCGTAATAATACATTTCTGACAGTTCTCCAAAACAAACCAAAACACAATCAGAATGATCTGATAACTGTTGACAAACTTAGCACTACACTAACACATTAGAATTTTTCCAGAAGAATTCTTGTTACAAAATATAGGAAAAACTTAATGTTAAACCCATTTTTATCTTTATGGATATCAGAGCAAGATGTTGTGTAATGGATTTGATAATTTACAAAATTATAAAAGATCAAGTAACTGAACGTTTACCTTATTACAACAGTTTAAAAACAACTAATGAAACAGCACTTTATGTGATTGATCAGTTTTTATGTGATAAAAACTGATCAATTACATAAATTTTATATTGATACTGAAAAAAACACTTTCAAGCAACTAGTTATGATAAGTAAAAACTTAAAACATCAAGTGATCTTGGGCTATGATTTTATGGGCTAATATGTATATATTTTTTATGTTAATTCATCTCCCCAAAGCCAAGAAGACCACTACAGTCAAGGAGGCTACTTTAGTTCTGGTTACAACTTTCTCTCAACTCTATAACTTCAAAACATAAACCTTGACAATTAAGGCCGCTGCGCGTAAAAACAAGTTGAGCGTGGTACTACCAAGGATGTGGTAAGGATTAAACTCAGAACTTCTTGCTTATGAGGCGATCGCTCTACTGCTACACCACTACCTCTATAATGTTAAACTTGACTGTAGACAGTAAAATTTGAAGAGAAATTCAGTGTCCCAATTATCAAGGATTTTTCGCTATTTCTTGTAGTAGTGAACTTATTGATGATAAGTTAATAGCTGAAAAAGAAAGCAGTAAACATTATTAAGTAAAAGCCAACCTGTTTTTGACTTTTTTTTATCTATATAAGCCTGAGTATACCTACCATGAAACAGAAAATATTAGTTGACTGCCTAAACCAATCAAACACATCTTTTAAGCCCATTCAAGTTTACTTGAATCAACATATTCCCAATAGCAACCTCCAATTACTTCAGGTATATTAAGTCAACTAGAAATATAAAATAATATTGAGTTTAACCAAAAGAAATCTAAGACTCTCGCCTTAACATGTATAAAAAAAGAAAATTTAGATAAAAATAGACTTGAGTTTGTTTGCACAAAATGAAATGTTACAATTTGAGGATAAACCCGACATGGAAGTAAGTTTTAACACTGAGGTTTACAAAAAATCTGTAGAAATAATTGAGGAGTTTACATCTGAAAATGATAAAAATTATGGCATAGCTGTATAAAATTTAACTTTTATGAATATATGAAATTTTAAAATTCTTATCTAAATAACAATAAAATAAATCCAACTTATTGATCCGCAAATATTTTATCAAAGTTTTGCTGTTAACAAAATATTTTTGTATTTTGTATGTGTAAATCGTTCGCATCAGATATTTATTTGTGTAACAACCAGATATTTTTTTGAATATTAACTAACAACTGTAACAAGCAAAAACCATTATCAATGAATGAAATGTTTTTTAAATTGTAAAAAAAATACTGACTTTTGTGACAATTGATTTTTTCGACTTTTTTTTTTAATGTTTTATAGTGTTTTTATTTTTCAATTTTTTTTTTTTTTTTCTTTTTTTTTTTTGTGTGTGTACATACATCAACTGCATTAGGTATGCAGTATTCCGCTGTGAGTCAGACGTTTCCGCAGACTATTAACATCAGCTCATTTAAACTAGAAATTTAAATTGACTTAAATAGAGATAAACAGGTTTCAGGTTAGAATCGGTGTAAGATCTATTATGATGTCATTTAAGGTTTTATGATTTGTTTTCATTTTCTTTTTTTTTTTCTTTTTTCTTTGAAAAAAATGTTTGGGTTGAAATTTATAATTTTAAATCGATTTTTATACAAAATTTGATTTTAGAATTTTTTTTTTTTAACTTCTTGTTCTCAGATAGTTCTTTTTAATTTTTTGTTCTTAGCTAGTTCTTATAAATTAAAATTTTTTGAAGTTAGAGACTATAATAATTTTTTTTATTCAAAGTACTTGTTATGCAAATATTCTAATTTTTTAAACTATTTTAAAGTTAAAATCATTACTTTTTTAATACTTTGCTATGTGATTACTCAGCTTATATTTGGTGCTTACAAAACAATATTTTGAATATTGAGTACAAGATATTTCGCAGTGAAGTCAGTTTAAAACAATGTTTTAAAAATATTGAGTACAAGATATATGGCATTGAAGTCATTTTGCATTCACCGTATCTAAAGTAAGCTTGAATTTTTTTTTTAAGCGAGTTGGGCGAAATTTCTAAATTGCCATTCCATTTGGCTGAAGAAACGCAATTATATTCTATAGATGACTTGGTTCAGGTTGTATTTTTTTTTAATTTTATTTGTCACAAAACTTATTTTGGTTTTTGCTTTTATTACCTTTTATGTATAGCCAATATAGATAGTATGTATATATATATATATATATATATATATATATATATATATATATATATATATACATATACATATATATATATATATATATATATATATATATATATATATATATATATATATATATATATATATATATATATATATATATATATATATATATATATATATATATATATATATATATATATATATATATAGGCCTGGGAAGATATATATAAATATATATATATTAATATATAAATAAGGCCTCAGTGGAAAGCGAGAGCTTTAGATAGCTCTTGCTCTCTCCCACACTAGTTGCTCTCTCCCACAATAGTTAACAATTTATTAGAAATTTTATGATTTTAAAGAAATTATTTACACAAAAAAAAAGGATTATTTTTTGTCCTATTTGTGTAACGCTTTATAAAAGTACAAACTATCTTATAGTTTGACAACTATTTATGTGCGTGCATTCCATCACAACTCTAAACTGTAGCTATTTGCTTATATAATTCAATGCCTATCTTCTCATCTGGAACAGAGTCAATACTATCATGCATTTAAGTTGATTTTAGAATTGCCGCTGCAGTTAACATGCAGATTTCTTATTTCTATTATTAGCAATTTCTTCGTGTTAAAAAAGTTGTCAATAAAAAAATTATCATTTTAAGAATAACTCTCTGACAATCAATAGTTTGATCTTCTTGTTTTACAGCTGACTTTCCAACTGTTAAAACAGAAAGTCAGCTTTTTGTTAAAACTGTTAAAAGGTTTTATTGTACATTAGATGTGCCGCAATTTTCTTTTCTTGGTCCTGTATTGTTTTTTATATATAATAATAATCTTCCTGACCATCTTAAGTGGTTCTATTTGCTCACGACCCAAGTTTATACATAAATGTCTTGACAAATATTTTTGATTGGTTAGTAAAGGCACCTGATCTTAAATCTAATCTCTCTTCTGTAACACACTGGGGATTGCATTAGCTTGTTAATTTTAACTCCATAAAACTCAGTTATTTACTGAAATAACTATTGCAAATTGTTGACTTTCATATAATGGTGAATGGCAACCCTCTCTTTGATTTTACTTGATTTCTTCTTTGATTATCATTCATTACTACCTTTTTTATGGAAACCATATAAACAACCAATTAAAAAATTAAATATCTGCTTAGGTTGCTTCTCTCTATTTTTTTACTTCTGATTCCATTCCCTACCTCTTCTTTTTCCTCTTTGTATGGAATAGTTTTAATGATGCTCTTTTCCTTCTAGAGAATTCTAAGTGCATCTTTTAAATTTTTTTCCTTGTGCATCGATATTTTGCTCTCTGCCATTTTTTTTTTTCTACAATTATTTAACTACCTGCAACAAACTTTTTAATTTTTTAAGTCTTCTGTCAACTGATTTCAATAATTTCAATATTCTATTTTAAATGGTTGCTTTAGTATTTTTTTTTACACTTTTTTATTTTTTCAATAAAAAGACAAGTGACGAAAAAACTCGAAATTTTTTGCTGCTTATAAACCTTTGCACTCCATGTATTAAATAATTTATATATTATAAGTATGTCTAAAATTGTATATACAATATTACATAATAATATTATTATTTATATTATTTAATTAGTAACAAATATATACAACATTATACTATATAAAAATTAATAAAGATTATATATATATATATATATATATATATATATATATATATATATATATATATATATATATATATATATATATATATATATATATATATATATATATATATATATATATATATAATATATATATATATATATATGAAATTATTATTATTAATTTAATTTAAAATAAGTAAAAATAGGCAAAAAAATGATTATAAATTGGTTATTTAGACAAAAAGTGGAGAGTTGCAAACCAAACTCAAAACAATTGTAATGAATGCTGTTCAACATATAAAAGTTTCATGTCAGGTATATATTTTTTACATTTACATTTTCAGTTATAAATATTACCCAACATTTTTTAAATAATAACTTGTATTAAAAATAGAAGTTATCTTTTATTAGTTTCTAATTGAAAATAATTAGTTACAAAAATAAATTTTCATGGTTTTTTTGCAGTTGTGTTCAGCTAAAGGTTTTGTTTGTGAATTTTGTAAGAACGGGGATGATGTTTTATATCCATTTGAGTTACAAAAAGTAGAAATGTGTAAAGGTTAGTCTTTTTAATTTTATGTTTTTTTTTTTAATTTTTTTTTTTTATGAAAGAGTCTAAAATTACTCAATAACCAACCACACCAAATTTTGTAAATTACCAATATTTCCAAAAAAGCAATATAAAAATAGATATTTAGTTAAAGGCAAAATATTTGTGTGTGAATTTAAAGGCAAAAAATTAATGCATGAAAATATAAAATACTTGAAAAGTTATAGAAACCAGTTAAGTTAGGAATTAAAAAGAAAAACAAAATGCAAAACTTAATGTTCTCTTAACATTCCAAATAATAAGAATTAGCAATTGATGGAAAAAGCACAGTTTTGAGATCGTAATGACATCATGGGATCTTAAAAAAAAAAATTATAAGTTAACAACTCTTTGATAGCTTGTTTTTAATAAAACTAATATATATTATAAATAGTTATATAAAAAGTAATAATAAATAATTGTAAATATACTAGTAAAAATTCAATAGCTTATATAGTTTTTCTATTTTAATTTAACTTTAATGAAAAACTAGGTGTGCTTATTTCTACTTTTTTTTTTTTTCAATTTCATCTTTTATTTAATAATAGGTATACACATACAACTAATTTTTTTCTAAGTTGTAGCCTATTTAAACATGTTTTTTTATTTAAACATGTTTAAAAATAAGTTATTATTAATTATTTTGAGTATTTCACCTAAAAGTCTCAAGTAGTTTAACCAAGTTTTTTTTTTTTTTTTGTAACACATTTAAATAATGATTGAAATACTTTTTTATTATGAAGAATACCTGCCCAAACGAATACCTGCCCAAAAGAATACCTGCCCAAACCTAAAACCTCAGTCAATGTTCAATCCACTGTACCTTTCCCTATTTAAGTTAGTCGATTTATGTATACTCTACTGCGACTACAGCTAAATCAGTCAATTTTTGCTGTATTTATTGCTGTAATTATTCTATTCTGAAACTTTGAAAAATAAAAATAAATAATAAACATAACTATAAATAATAATATTTACAAAACATAAAATTACTTAGAAATAAAATATTAAAATTCAAAAAAAAATCCTAATAATAAGCTTTCTTTGATCATTACAAGTGCAGTCCCTGATTTATTGTGCAAATTTAGTTTTTAAATTAGGTCAGATTTGCAAACAGGATATAACAACATATAATTGGATATAACAACATATTAAAAGAATAACCTAGTGTTTTTATAAATTTATTAACCTTCACAATTGTTAAACAGATAAAATTCAGCTTTAAATTAGCTTGTTGTCTCATTGGTTTATGTGTCTATTTGTCACTTTGTGCGTGCAAAACAAACATTAGTGATTATTAAAGCCAGTAATTTTTTACATGTTTTCAATTTGAATAGTTTAACTAAAATGTTTCAGTTGTTTAAAAACTAAAAAAGCTTGTTTTTCTCAACCAATACAGGGTTTTAATCAAAAATCGAGATGAGAGATTTTAGTTGGAGTTCAAGAGTTTTAAGCTCGGAGCAGTGAAGGGGAGTGGTGGTAGTAGAATAGGGTAGTGGGTGGGGTAGGTTTTTAAAAATAAAGGTCAAGTTTTTAGTGCACATTTTTAATAATTAAATCATTTTGTAATTAAAAAGTCTTATGAGCAAAGATAAAGGAAGATAAAATAAAATCTTTTGAGATATGCTTTATTCTCATGACATTTTTTTATTCTTATGTTGTATCACTTTAAAGAAATCTTTTGTGGTATTTAGAATGTAAAACTTGTTACCATCGCAGCTGTTTTGCAAAAGGATTTTGTCCTCGATGTGATAGAATTAAAGCAAGGTGTTAATTTTTTCTTTGATAAAAATTCTTCATTTTCATTAATATGTAAACTATTGCTCATTATTAAACTTTTTTTTTTAAGAAAAAGAATGCTGGAATTTGATACACTGGATACCACATGATGATAATCTGATACACTAAATACCACATGATGATAATCTAATACACTGGATACCACATGATAATATTTTTGGAAAATGCTTAGCAATCTACTGTGTTTATCTCATGTATAAATGCATTTAAATCGACTAAGTGAATAAATTCAATGCATTAATTTTTGCAACTTTTTATCAATAAACTACCTAATGTTTTGACACATGCTGTATATATGTATCCTAGAAGTTTTGTTATTGAAAGTTGAACAGAATAAATAAAATGATTATCAAGGATTTTATTGCAAATATTTATATTAGCTATATTCAAATTTATTTGCTTGTAACAATTTTTTTGTGTGTGAAATTTTATAATTAATAATTTAAAAATATAAATTGTGAAATTCAGATATTATGTCAATTAAAAAAATTATAGTTATTTTTTCTACATTGTTTTTTTTTTTTTTTTTTTCTAAATTATTTTTTTATTTTTTTTTTTTTCTACATTGTTTTTTTTTTTTTTTTTTTTCTACATTGTTTTTTTTTTTTTTTTCTACATTGTTTTTTGTTTTTTTTTGCATAAGTTTTTGAGTAGAAAAATTTTATAATTGTTTTTGTTTGTGTAAATTTTCTATAAGAAACATTTTATCATGAAATAAGTAATAATTAATTTTGTTACTTATATAGACTTATATAGTATATATAGACTTGATAATATTGTTTGTATTTATAAGAATTTTGCTATGCAATTAACTAATATTTTATTCGGTGCTACACGTAGAGTGATGACTGGTAAACATGGAAACAAAAATTTTTACAAAGGTGCTGTTGCAATAATTTTTTTCTGTCATTGGTTTCTTTTTTTAGAAAATAAATGTTTAAGTTAATTTCAAATTTTTTGTTTATGATTTGCTTATGGTTTTTTATTTATGGCTTTTAAATTTTTATAATGGTTTTTAATATTGGTGATATTTATTATTATTATTATTGTTATTATTGATGATGATGATATATGTTTATAATAATATAGGTCGCGGAGTTCGAAATCCAGGTTTCAATACTAAATTTGGTAAGATTACTACTGATTAATTTTTATTATATCTGTGTTATTTTTATATTTCTGTTATTTTTATTTTTCTGTTGCTACTGATGCAGTCAATATAAGTATACGATAAATGTTTCTCACTTGATTTTAGTCAAGTATATATACTATAAAGGTTTATTAGTTATTTGATCTATCCAGTTTTTTCTTTTCATTTATAGAAAAACAAATCTACAAAGTAGATTTATTTTTCTATCACTGAGACATAAATCTACAATGGTAAGGTATAAATCTACAGTAGTGAGACATAAATCTGCAGTGGTGTAGTATAAATCTACAGTGGTGAGAAATAAATCTGCATATAAATTTAAAAGTATAAATTTACAGTGATGGAGATAAATCTATAGTGGTGGAGATAAATTTACAGTGGTGGGACATAAACCTTCAGTGATAGAGACATATAGAGATTTATGTGAGAATAAGGATATGTCTAAAAATATTATATTGTTAGTTTATATTCCCAATGCTACAATAAGGAGTAAATATATGTTTAAACAGAAAATGTCATGGAAAAGTGCCAACTCCTTAAAAAAGTCATGTCCTAACAACATGGTGACTAACACATAGATACCTAACAACATGGTGACTGCTATATACACTAAAATTTTTTTTATTTTTAAATTATATCAAGATGGGCTCCAAAGAAGTAAGTAAGAAGTGTAATTTCATAGAGATTTTATAAATAAAAATCAATTTTTATATGTAAACTTTTTTAAAAGTATTTAAAAAAAATGTCTCTATTAAATTTTTGTTTTAAAATTTTTTTACAATAAATTAAAAAAAAATGATTTTTATTAAAAAAACAATTAGTTTTTATAGTTTTATAAAATTTTGCTTCTTTTGAGACTTCACCATGTCATTAAGTGACTTGAAGTGTAAAATTTTTTTAAAAGTTAACATTTGCAATTGACATTTTCTATATTCTTGTGCAAAAGCTCCACAAAAAATAATATGGGGAAAATCTTTTTTTAAGTATTGTCAAATTATAAATGGAGAAAATGTCATATAAAAAAAATGAAGAAAATGTCATAAAAAAATTAAGAAAATGTCATATAAAAAAATGGAGAAAATGTATTATAAAAAATAGAAAAAAATATCTTAAATAACAATAACTTAATACAATTAATTTGTATATCCACACCTGAAATACAATAGGCCAGTATAATATCAAATATATGTATTCTTTATATTGTTGATATTTTCTTATATTATTGATATTGTTGATATATAGTGATGTGACAACAAGGGACTACTAGATTTGTAAATAAGTTACAATCCACCAATAGAATTGCAATGAAGTGAAAAAAGCAACAAATAGTATTATAGTGAAGTGATAAGAAACATTGTATTATTAGTGACAATAAGTAGCTAATAGAGTTCTTTAAAATATTTAAAAATATGTTTTGCAAAATTATTTTAAAATTATTATATGTTTTACTAAATGTACTTTAAAATTAGTAAATGTTTTGCTAAATATATTTTTAGGTGCATATCGAATAGTACCAAAAAAGGTTCATGAATTTATTGTCCCGGATCTAACTGGCTTTCAAGTAATGTTTTATAGCATTATGAGTTGATTTATGTTGTTAAAAAGAAATTTTTATATATTGTTTTAATTTTTTTAAGATGAAACCATATGTGTCGTATCGCGTGCCACAAATTACTAATGAAAAAGTTACTGGAGAAAGTTTGCTTAAAGATATTAAAACCAATATTGACCTTATTGTTCATAAAGAAGTCCCATGATAATGTAAAACATGTTTAAAACAATTAAGAAGTCCCATGATAAATGATGTAAAACATGTTTGAAAAATAAAGAACTAGAAAAATTACATTGTTGCTATTATGTTTCAACAAAAAGACATTTTAGGTTTGATCTTCTTTGTCTGCTGTACGAATAATCCGAAGACTTGAAGTTGTTTTTTTGTTAAAAATTATATGAATAAAAATTCAAGATACCATTATTAATATTAGTTATTTAACAGAAATTTACTTGAAACACAATTCATATCTAGAATTAAACATAAAGATTTCATAGATTTTTACTTGTTAATTGTATAGATTTTTACTTGTTAATCATTTTTCATCTCATAAATGAGTTCTTCTTATTAAATAATATTGTCATTTATATTTAATAAAATAGTTTTTTATACTGCAATTTTTTAGTAAAAGTTATGTCTTCTCTTATAAATAATTTTCATTAAAATGTAAATCATTTTTTTTGATACCTTAAAAACTATTATTTTATTTATCTATTTTTTTCTAGGTCAATAAAATGAAAATGTTTATATAATGGCATATGTTATTGGAGTTGACCTTGGAAGTACAACTTTAACTTGTAAAATATACAACAAAGATGGAAATTCAATTTCTTTTGCTTCAGAAAAGGTTTACTTTGTTTATTAATTAAAGCTCCAATTAAGTATAAATTGTTAATATTAATTATATATATATATATATATATATATATATATATATATATATATATATATATATATACATATATATATATATATATATATATATATATATATATATATATATATATATATATATATATATATATATGTGTGTGTGTGTATATATATATATATATAAATATATATATATATATATATATATATAATTAAAATTAACAATTTATACTTAATATTTATACTTATGTATGTATATATATATATATATATATATATATATATATATATATATATATATATATATATATATATATATATATATATATACATATACATGTATAAAATATTAATATATGATAAAATTAATCTTGGTGTACTTTACGTAACTTTATTTCAAGATTTAAAAAAGTTAAAATCTTTAAAAACTTTAAAAACTGAAATAAGACTTTTAATTAATAGACTACTTATGAAAGCCAAGTATGTCAGTGTACACATAATTCGTTGTTTGGTCAAACAAATTAGTTAATGTATAACTTTCACAGCAATGGGGTGCACATCACAACACATCCTATAGAATTATGAGGTTTGAAGTGTCTAGTTTCATCATTACACATCCATAGTAATTATGGGATTTAATTTACTATCTTAGGTACAGTGAATTGTACATAGAAAGCTAGTCTATGTATACTTCACTGTACCTACAGCTAAATAAAGACTGTAGAGTAAGAAGCTACTGAATTTAGCTGTAAGAAGTACCAACAGCTAAATTCAGAAAAACTGAACGTGGCAATATTTTGTGGGAAAGCTGATCTTATCCATTGAGAATAAAATGTAATACTAAAAAAAGGAAACAAAATCTTTAAAAGATATAAAATTGAAATTTAATGAAAGAATTATTTATAAATTAAAAAAAAAAATTCTAACAAAAAAAAAAAAAAAAAGAATTCTACATATTTTTTTCAAAAAATTTATGTTTTTGTTTTCCTTTTTTAAGGTTGTTATTTTCAGCTATGAAATTTTATACAAGTCAAAGAAAAAAAGGCTATAAATAATAAAAGTTTAACAAAAATAAAAAGAGAAACTAATTAATTATTTACGCTTGAGAAATTTAGTTAAACTTTTTATTTCTTAATACTTAGGCAAGTAAATAAATTGCTGTTTATTAATAAAATATATTATTTGAGTTTTTAAACATAACAAGATTTTAATGTGAAAAAAAGTAATAAAAACTCATTAAAAATAACAATGAGTAAAATGCTTCCTTAAAGTTTGCTTTTTTCAAGCGGTTTGCTTGAAAAAGTCTAATAGATAAAGATAATACTTTCCCATACATTATTTTGATTGTCCGGCCAATATTTTGGATCAAGCCATATCAACACAGGATTAACTTTAAATGATGCAAGTCGACTATTAAAGATATTAATATGTTAATGTAATTTTTTCCAAAGCTCTTTCAACATCTTCTTGCTTTGGGTTTATCATGCCATCAAGTTTGATGTCTATGTATTTAATTTTTTTTTTTCTTTTGTTGTTAGCGGTTGTATATCCATATTCAAGGTTAATAATATCACCGTCTTCTTTAATTATGAATTTTTGAGCAGATCTAGTGTCAACTTCTTCTGCAGTCAACTGAGCTTTTATCTTGACAATTTCCACTTCAAAAGCAAATAAAACATCTCTTTCAAAGAGAAGCAACAAAGGGCTCGTTGCCTCAAGTATATCTAGGTACACTCCAATTTTGCATAAAAAGCCATAGTTAATTAACTTCCTTAGAAGTCACTGCATTTTGGTCCTTGTTTCTTTACAATACCTTTTGTTAGTTAGTGCATTTGGTAAAGTAACTAGATAAGCCGGCCAGTTATGCATTAGATCAGTGTAACCCTTAGCAGGATGCGATGCAAATTGGGTTCCTTGAATTTTATTAAGCGCTAATACTGTATACATAATACACCGGCAGCATGTTTGCATGACTCTTTTAGTTTACCTGATTTTTTCAAAAGATAAAATAGAGTCATGTAAAAACAATCCATAAAGACTTTAAACTACTTTATAGCATCTTTTATTGCAAGTTCCAATCTGTGACTAACATAGTGTATGTTCACTAACCATGTGTGTGTGTGTTTTTTAATTGAGTTAATGCACCACTATAGACACCCAGATTAATATTCGCTCCATCAGCTGTTGCAACTTTGTGCGATAATTCATATTAGATTTTTGGAATTTAGGAATTTTGCATTTAGCTATAACGTTTTCAATAAAAACACTATGCCAATTTTAAAGAGTCAGCATCAACTCCGTCAAAATCCGCCATATTACATAATGTAACAAAAAAATAACATGCGATACTGGCATTTTCAACTCTAAAAAATATATCTTCTTTTTTGCTACCTGTTTTCCTCACTTGACTACCATCAGGTAGCAAAACCATCAAATATTTGTTGGCGATAATTGTCGCTACTTTCACCTTTATTGCCTCGGTAATTCAATGAATAATTTCTCTTACTGAAATAAAAAATGAAACTTAAATTAAATTTAAAAGTTATTCAAACAGATTTTTTAACTGTTTTTATTTCACTAAAATATTGAAAAGTGAAAAATTATATATATAAACATATATTTAAAGTGTTAAACATTAAAAAATGATGTGTGTGTATGTGTAAAGAAAGTATCAGCATTTTTGTTGCTTTTCCCTTGCATTAGTTTGACACCATTAACTCGCTGAACTTTTACAAGTACCTCTAAATGACTATGTGGCATAGCAGGATGCAATGCCATTTCATATGCAGTGCACATTAACTTTAAACATGCTTCAAATATTGATGCTTTATTTGAGTTATTGGCATCCGTTATTGGACTCTCAGATTCAGTTATTTGACTTAAAGAAGGAGAGTTACTAACTCCCTTTTATCAGCTTTGTTGATAAATATCTTATAACCTGTAGTATAAGTAAATAAGTAAGATTACATTGTAATACATAGTTTTATGTATTTTTAGCTTTATAATGTACTATATATTATAAATAATAAACTTGATTATGCATTACAACATTAGTTCCATTTGAAAAAGCATTTAAAGAATTTCTAGCAACCCCAAATATTTAAATGTGAATGCTGTTTTTATGCTTAGCGCACATTTTGCACCAGATTTTAACAACAGTGTCTACATCGTTCACTTTTATAACTTCTTAATCAAGAAAATCATGTTTCCACGATTGAACAGTTTTTAGTGATTTTGTATTCATTTCTTCTCTCTCTTGTCTAATTCTAACCTGATTACACTGAGTCAACGCTTGCCTTTTATTACGTTGTAATTACTTTATTGCATAATTTTATTATTACTGAAGAAATGAAAAAAATGTTCGCATTGTTTCTATAATGGTTGTTACAAAAAGAGTTCCCTTGCGAAAATTATTTTTAACACTCATTCACAATAACAATTAACAATTGCAAAATAAGTTATTCCCACAATAACAATTAACAATTGCAAAATAAGTTATTTTAGAGAACACATGAAAAATGGTTGCAAAATTATTCCCTAAGAGACTATTTCCGCACTAAGATTTCACGGATTAAAATTTCATGCTACTTTTAAACAGCCACCCTAATTTACTTTTCAAAGAACTTGCTGTATTAAATATATAACTTTCTATATAAATATATATAAATTTCTAAGGTAGTTGCCCCCATAGAAAATGCCCACATTTGCAATAGGGATAATGTATACAAACAAATATTTTATATTTAAACATTATTATTAAGGGTTTGTAATAATTTTACAATAAAATTTTGTTACATTTAAATATAAAAAAAATATATTTTACAAATAAATAACAATTAGTTTTTTCATTTACTCAGGGCTGGCAGCACAGTTTTCAAATTGGGGGACATACTCCCTTATTTCGTAAAGAATTGTCAATTAAAAAAAAAAGGGGGGGGGGGAGACTCTTGCCCCCTCCCGTTGGGGGCAAGAATTGTTTTTTTCCCTTGATTTGTATCATTTTTCATAGTGGAAATAACTACACCCTAAAAGTAATAACAACAAAAAAAAGTAAAATAATTAGGTAATTTTTTTTTTTAATTATTTTTAATTTTAAAGTAAAAACAGTGCAAATTTAAGTATTTTATTTTAGTCTTGTTTGCATTTTCGCATTACTTTCATTTAGCTTTGTTTTGGTGCAAATTCTTGAAAGGCGTAATATAAAAAAATGTGGTCAGTTAGTCAGAAAAAATTATTTTATGAACGGAAAAACAAGGCGTACAGCCGCACGCTTTTCCATATATACCAATCTTTTTTTTATTACATTTTTACATATTCACCTTCTCAAGGGTCATTAGTAGTTTATTGATTATGATAATCAAGAAACTACTCATTTTTTAAATTGCTGCTATATCCTTTTCTCAATGTCTCTCATCTTCCAACTCATAAATCTTCAACAAAGCCTTTGCAAGTTGATGTGGGATGTTGACACATACACCGTAGATTTGAACTATATATATATATATTTTTTTTTTATAGTTATAAATGCTGATCTTGAAAAACCAATTAATATAAAGAATACTGATGAAACCAAATATTTTATTTGGCAGGTTTTAAAATCATAAATTGTAACATTATAATATTTTCTTGCAACATGTTCTTGGTCATAATGCCCTAGTATTTATTGCATTAAACTGATATTATATTGGGGCAGGTAAGACTTTTTAAATATTACATTGTTAAACATTACAAACCATCCCAACCAAAAACTGTCAACAAATTAACACAAATAATAACATAATACTTCTGTGGTTTCTTAATCAAGTCTTATTATCAGACGTGAGTTTGGTAAAGTTGGTATAAAAACATTTTGGAAGATCTTTACTTAACCTGTTTAGCCAAAATAAGTCAAAGCTACCTCCAAACAGTTACCCTGAAGTTTACCAATTTGAATGTGGCGCTTTTTACGTAGGTGAAACTAGAAAAAACATAATA